GTGGTGCTAAGGATAGAACCCAGCAGCTCGTTCACACTAGGCGAGCACTCTACCACTGAGCCACAACTCCAGCACCAATTCAGTTTAATTTTCTGAATAGCAATTTGTTAATATCATCACAAAAGATTAAACTTGTTTATACCCTTAAACTTTCCCAATTCTAAGAATTTGTCCTAAAAGTTATACATGTTGCAATAATTATCTATAAGGATGCTCATCATAGTATTGTTTATAATGCAAAAAAACAAAACAAAAACAAAAACAACTAAAGATCCAATAAAGAGGCTCAGTTAAATAAAATGCATAATTATGTAGGGAAAAATACATAAGAAATAAAGAATATCTACAGTGTGGAAACAAGTTCTCAATACATTTTATTTTATTATTATTAAACCCCAGGTGCTCTACCACTGAACTACATCCCCAGCCCTTTACATTTACTTATTTATTTTGAGGCAAAGTCTTGCTAAACTGATGAGGCTGAACTCAAACTTGAGATCCTACTGCCTCAGCCTTGCAAACTGTTGGGATTACAGGTGTATGCCACCACACTTACCAAGTTCTCAATATTTAAAGTAATTAAAAGCAGCCTACAAAATATCATCACACATTTTTATAAAGACCAAAAACTTATGCTTTGAAAATAGGAAGTATATAGAACATAATATTAATAGTGGTGGTGATAGGTGATATTTTTCTTTATATTCATTTGTATTTTTTATATTTATTTTTTAGTTTTAGGTGGACACAATATCTTTATTTTTTATTTTTTTATATTTCTTTTAGTTGTAGGTAGACACAATATCTTTATTTTATTTTATTATTTTTTTAAAGAGAGAGAATCTTTTTTTTTTTTTAAGATGGACACAACACAATGCCTTTATTTTTATATGGTGCTGAGAATCGAACCTGAGTTCCGCCTGTGCTAGGCGAGTGCTCTACTGCCGAGCCACAATCCCAGCCCCCTTTATTTTATTTTTATGTGGTGCTAAGGATCTAACCCAGTGCCTCATGCATGCTAGGCAAACACTCTACCAGTGAGCCGCAACCCCAGCCCTCATTTGAATTTTTTACAATAAACACCTCTTTTTTATAATTTATAAAAGATATTATGAAAATCACAACCACAAAATGACTTAGTGCCAGCTGGTTTGGGAACACCCAGTAGCTTAGACATCTATAGGACTCCACCCACAATCCACCTACCACTAGGGCTGTTCTCTTTTTATAGAATCTTTCTATCCAAGTGGGCTTTCCAGTTCTCCCACACTTGGAAACTGGCTCTAGTTAATTAGCAAATCTTAACATGAAAATAACTTGTTAAAATAAAGCAAATTTTATATTGAAAGAATAGGGCATTGAATTTAAGAGTTTCAAACATTTACTTTCCTGAATTAGGTTCTATTTCCATAAACAGTGTTTTTTTCACCTTAGTTGCCTGGGAAATCAGCCAGCTTTTATTAATGATCTCAGGTAGCCAAGGGCCCAGAAAGTATACTATTTGGCTAATATTCTCTTAATGATAACTAAACTCACAGGCTCTTTACTGAGCCAAACATTCAGCTTTATTCTACTTAAAAGTTGGCCTATCAAACTATAAATGTTTATTAAAGCTGGATAGTAGATACCTAATTGTTATATTATTTTCCATAATTTTCTATAAATTTGAAATATTTCATAATTTAAAAGAAATTCTTAGTTTTCCACTGCAGGAAGTCCTAATCATCTTGGGAGGGGGGGATTCAAATAAGTTTAACTTAAATTTGGCAGTCTAATATGCAAGTCATCTTTTAAATAATAATTCTCCATTTCTTAAAATAGCACAAACTGAAAAATGACAAATAAAATTCTTTCTTTTTTACTCTAAACTGTCATTATTATACATATTTTTGACATTGAATGCTTTAATACTTTCAATTAAACATGCACACACACCAAATACAGAGCAAGTAGATTATATTTCAGAGCTGGCTATATTGATATAAACTAATATTCCTGAGGCAAAAAAAAAAGTAACTTGTATATTCTGTCTTTCCAAACAAAAAGAAAATTAAATGACTGTTAGTAGCATGAGGAAACCATTGAAGCCAACAGAAATGACTTCAGGCAATCAATTTGTGTTTTTCATATGATACTTGATAATATTCAGTGCAAGTTCATTCTAAATTTTAGATACAAACATCAGCTTTTCTCCTATTTTAAAAGGATGCTTTGTGTTGCAGTCTTGTGTTAAATTTTGGGGGGAGGGTACAGTGAGAGGGGTTGAATCCAGGGGTGCTTAATCACTGAGTCGCATCTCAAGCCCTTTTTATTTTTTATTTTGAGACAAGGCCTCACCAAATTGCTGAGGCTAGTGATGAACTTTCGATCCTCTCCATTAGCCTCCCATGTCGATAGGATTACAGGCATGTACCACTGCACCTACCTTTGTGTTAGAATTTCAGTAATAAATACTAAAAAAATCATATATTTTTATATGATTTTTTTATATAAAAATCATATATTCTAAAATGAGTTATTTAAAAAACAATTGTTTTGGAAAAGCAAAATGTCATCCTTTTGCAAATTAATTTAAGTGAAATAAAAACATTCTATTTTAACAGTGGTTACATAAATCTATACTTGTGTTATGATGTATAAACTGGGCCAGGATGTAACTCAGTGATAAGAGTGATTACCTGCATATGTGTGAGGCCTTGGGTTTGATCCATAGCACCTCCCAAAAAAAGATCCGTAGAACTATACCAAATCAATTTTATTGTATAATTTTTTAAAAATAATTAATGAATGGGAATACAACTGAACAATATAACTAGTAAAAAGCTAGTTATATTTTACATTGACACAACCACTCCAATATTCATTAGTATAGGTAAGGATCATTATTTAAATATTACAGATGACATACTAATTTAGAAAGAGTACATATTATAGACTATTGGTACTGAGGCTTCTAATAAGTTAGATGTTTGGCAATCAAATTGTAGAAATCATAAGACACAGGCTATGCAAGATCTCTAGAGCCCGTTTCTATTTTTCAAAGAAATCATTTTAATGAAAATATCAAACAATGTATATACTCTGATAACATATCTTAAATTTACAAATCACTATTTTCATAATCACAAAACAAAACCAAAAAGTTATTATATTACCACAGAAAAAAATAAATGATATTCTAAAGAAACGTTTCATTTGAAAAAATTCATAGTAGTAAACATTCATTAGTGAATTAAAATAGGAACTTAAATTACTATGAGGATTAGATAACAGGATATTTATGAAAGATTTTATCTAATAAAGTGCTACACAAATTTATACAAATTTAAAATATTATCTGCCTCCCAAGAATCCTGCATTTCCTGTATCTCAGATATATAAACCACATAAAGTACCTCATGCTTTTTATGGGAAATGGAAGAGAAAATCTCTAAAATGTCACCAGTTTATACACCTTAGCAGAATGAATATAGGAAATAATTAGTGTGCCTTTAAACTACCCAGAAGAAATGGAAATTTCTACATTTTCAAATCAAGTTAGATTTATCAAAAGTCCCGGTGGTTTTTGTCGTAAAACCATAATTTGCAAAACTTAAGACAAAAATGCTTACTAAGATCTTTTATCCACCTGTTGGATGGTTCAAGGGCCAATGTGAGATTTTTTTAAATACAGTAATTCATTAGACTCTGTCTATAAACTAACTGAAAAAGATAGATTACATTTTTACAGCTCTCCATTTTCTGCATAGCACCAAAAATAAAAGTTGTTTGGTATGCATTGCTGAGAAGAAACTGTGGGTCTTTGGTGAGGTGAAGGAAGCTTTTTAAAACTAACCTGGAAACAACCCCAGTCTCCCTGATAGAAACCAAGTCCAGGCAGAAACAACCCCTGCATCATTCATGTGGAAGAACTTTATATGCACATATCATGGATCCCTTAGGAATAAGGCACAGATAACTAGACAAAAAGGTCCCTCTGTTTTTCAAAAGAAAGAAGGTTGTGCCTGATCAAAGTGTCCTATTTCCTAGTCCAGAGAGGAGACTGGTTTCAAAAACCCCTCCCCAAACTCTCCCAAGAATTTGGGGAGGATTCCAACTCCAATCTAAGAACATTAGCTCGATCAACTCCATTTGGATAAAGTCACATTAAAAAAATAAGCAAAGTTCATGAAGACTCTGAATTGGCAAATAATAAAAAGTAACCACAACTGTTTTAAACTAGTATTGCTACAATGTCAGCCAAATAAGTGAAAAATTGCTCCTAGATGTATTTCAGAGTATGTATTTCAGAGTACGCAGAGTTCAGTATTTCTACATAACAAGAAATCATGAAACCATCAGACTCACTGCTATAAAATAAAAGCACTCCTCCTAAAAACTCCAACAAGACACCATGAAGAGATGTGGCCCCAGAGGGATGCATTCCATAAGGTTTGAAACAACTTTTCTATACCTTTATCGCTTCTTACTTGTTTTGTCTAGTAAAACACTTTTAAATTTATTCTTTCAAAAGATAGCCTTTTGTAATTCTAGAAAACACAATATCTGTCTGTTTTGCTCCAGATAAGTTAGAAAAAATAGGGCGGGGGAAGCTTTTTAAAAAAATTCAAGGTGCTAAGGGCTACTAGAATCTATGCTTCTTATGGGCATAATGTGGGTACAGAAACTTCTCTATGTGGATAATGGAAGTTCCATATTCAAAAAAGGAAACATTTCAATGTTTTGATAGCATAGCTGATAGTACAGGCACATAAGGAGGTGAGGTCTCCTGAGAAAGTAATTCAGCTTTAACTCAGTGACTTACCCAGAAGCAACCATGGCTTAATAACGCCAACTTGCAGGTCCAAGCTAAGGTCCTGCACATAACCACAACCAACCCCCTCGCTTGGCTGTACTTCTTCCACCACATGAATTCTGGCATCTTTCCATGTTTCTATAATTTTCTTTCCAGTTAGCGTTGTCACCCTGGTGCATTGCTTCCTGAGATTATTCCGGGAGAATGCTTTAATTTCCTGGCTAAGGGAGTGCATTACATGCGCAGTGGCTGGGAACAAATGCAATCAAATCCGGCAAGCACAGAGAAGGGCTGAACTGCTCGTCCCTTATTGCTCAGGTAATAAATACAGCCGCGGGGCGCTGGCCTCCCCAGGTGAGGCGTTAGGTAGCCACCACACCCCGGGAGACCTGAACAGTCCCACAGTCTTTTTCCCACAGCCGCGATGTAAGGCGACATTTGATTGGCCACTGAGAAACGGGCGCCGATTGGATGCTGATTCTTTTTCCGGTTTGGCTCGAAACCTGCGTTTTTCCTGCAAGGAATAAGAGATCGGCTGGAGAGTCGTCAAAATCTATCTTTACTCTACACGTCGAATGCTAAAATATAAGACTGAATTGGAGAGAGGGATGCTATCTTCCAGTTCTTTAAAGGCAGTGACTTTATGGATACGTTCGGTTGGTGTAGTCACGTTAGCGATTGAGTGATGCCGGCTACCGTGTCGCTCCTCTTCAGTGAGGCCTAAAGTGCAAATCGTCCTACTTGGCCTGGCCCGCCTTGCCCTCCTGATGTTAGATCTGTCAGGGGTGGGCTACAGCATGTGTGATGAAGTTATTTCTCTTTTCCTGTGTCCTTCTCACCCTTTCTTTATGCTGGAATGTTTACTAAACAAACTGCTGCCTGTATTTGTGAGGCATCAATTTAAGTGAAATTCAAAAAAAAATTAAAATTAAAAAAGGTATTGAGAAAAGTTTAAATTACATTCCTATTTAAATTAGCAAAACTTAAAATTTATGAATTTTCTGACTTTCTGCCTACATTTTCACCTGCTGAAGAACTGTAGAAGGCTTAATGTGGTAAATATGTGCTCTGTTTATAAAAAGCATTGCACCAAGTCCATCGATATATAGTTGAGAAAAATTAAGTGTGCAAACATCCAAATTTACAAGACAGATAAACAGTAGAGTGATGGTTTTGATGACAAAAGGATGATTTGTTTTACTAAAGAAACAACAAAATTTCTTCAAGAATTTTCTTGACCCTTAAAAAATAAAGATTGAAGCCTGGTGCTGTGATGCATGGCTGTAATCCCAGCGCGTTGGGAGGTTGAGGTAGGAGGATCCTGAGTTCAAAGCCAGTCTTAGCAATTTAAAGAAGTCTTGAGCAACTTAAGGAGACCCTGTCTCCAAAATAATTTTTTTTTTTTTTAAATGAGGAGGTGCTGGGAACGTGGCTCAGTGGTTAAGCGACCCTGGGTTCAATTCCTGGTACCAAAAATAAATAAATGAATAGAGAGATTTTTAGATGAATTCAGGCACAATGTATAAATACATGTATAAAATGAAGATATTGTACTTAATGAAAATCTGTGCTCCAATACCACACATTAAAATTTTTTATTATTTAAACTTTCTGGCAAACTTCTATGAACTGAATGTTTGTGTCCCTTCAAAGTGTGTACCATAAATCTGTAATTCCAGATGTGATGATATTTAGAGGTGGGACCTTTGGGAGATATTTAGAGTCAGGTTATGTCATGAGGGTAGGGCCCTCAGGATGAGTGAGATAAGTGGTTTAGGGAGAACCGGAAGGGATCTCCTCCCTCTCCTTCCAAAGTGGCAGGGAAAGGCCATGTAAGGACAGAGGGAGAAGTCAGCTGTCTGCAAACCAGGAAGAGAGTCCTCACCAAGAACCTTGAATAACCCAGCAACTTTGTGTTAAACTTCTAGTGTCCAGATCATGAGAAATAAATTTCTGTTGCTTAAGCCACACAGGTTATGGTATTTCATTATGGCAGTCTGAGCTGACTGAGAGATTAAACCAAAATCTTTCCTCTTGAAAAGAAGTTATCAGCCCAGGTTATCTATGGGGCACTCCAAAATGGAGAAATTATTTGCATCACTTAAACAATCTTGGGCTCACTAAAACAACTCTAACCAGAAATAAATCCATCTATTTGTCAGAACAATGATCAAAAAAGTAACCATCAGTCATTGAGCACTTATTACATGCTAGGCACTGTCCTTACAAATAATTTTTAGATTTTTATGTTATACATTAGGCACCTAACAATGCTTTAGTCATATTATCCCATTTGATTTTACCACAAGCCTGTTAGATACATCCTTTTGCAATCATCTATGTTTTGCAACTGAGGAAATTTAGATGCAGAAAGCATATATCACTTATTTATTCTACCTTCTGTAGCTAATGAATTCAAGACTGTAAATAAAACCTAATATTGTTTTAGTCCTGTATCTTAGTTTTATTTACTATGGAATATTGCCCTTCCCCCAAAAGAATTGTACTTAACAAATATATATTAAACACCAACCATGTACTAAGACTGTTACAGTCACTGGGGATATAGCTGTGAATTAAAGCCTTTCCTGTCTTATGGAGCTTTTATTCAAATGGAGTGGATGAACAGATAAAAAACAAAAGTGTGTGTGTATAAAGCCATGTTGTGTCATCATTTAAATGTTAAAAGGAAAAATCAAGTCAAATAAGGGAACAGAGTGAAATGGCAGTGTGCTATTTGCTAAAAGTTGATGAAAGAAATCACCTCTGATAAAAGATAATCTGTTTTTGTTTTTTTTTTAGATGGGATCTCACTATGGTGCACAGGCTGGCCAATCATCCTCTCTCAGCTCCTGAGTAGCTAGGATTACAGTCATGTGCTCAGCTTTAATAAAGTGAATTTTGAACAGAGACTTGAATAAAGTGCAAAAGCCAGCCCTGTAGATATCTGGGGGAGAATTTAATAGGAAGTGTCTAAACGTAACACATGTAGTGTCTATATCATGTGCTTTGCCAAGTGCTAAGACAGTACCCTAGTGGGAGGTATTGGGATAGTGGGTAAAGGTTCAAGAAATAGCCAGGTGGCTAATGTGGCTATAAGAGAGTGAATTTAGAGGAGATGAGGTCCAAAGAGAAATGGTAATCACTTTGGATTGTATTCTGAGTGACATGGGAAGCCACTGGAGGGATAGAGGAAGAACAGTGATGTGCTACACTAACAAGATCCCCCTTGTTTCCCCAGCTGGGAGAACTACTGACTGACTGGTGAGAGTCCCTTTGGGGCCTCCCTCAGCTACAAAAGGCTGCTTTCTAAGGATATGTTTTTCACAGAATAGACTCCAACCATGACTAATCCATGAGGAAGCATAGAGGCCTGGCCATATTTGGCCCAACTTGGGACAACTCTAAAGGACCACTGTGGCTCTGAGAGCCAACATATTGTTAGCTGAGACTGTCATCAGGTCTGCATAACCACTTGACTTCTCTGTCTGCCCAATTGTGCTTCATTGTTTTCTTCCACTGCTGAACTCTGACTCAGTTTGCTTCCAAGGAAATTTAATCTGTGACAAGTGATTTGATATTGCTTTTTCTGTAAAGGGTTTCTTCTGGCTGCTGTCAGGAGAGAAGGCAAGATAGAAGCAGGGAGATTTGCTAAGAGGCTACTGCCATGATCCAGATGGAAGAGGACAGATGCTTAGGCTAGAACGGCAGCAGAGAAGAAGAAAGCAAGTAGGTATATTCTAGATACAGATGTTTGACTTAGGATGGAGTTACACCCCAATAAACTAATCATAAATTGAAATATTTGTGTCAGAAGTACATATAATGCACCTTACCTACTGAAAAGCATAGCTTGGTAACACAGCACCTGTAGAGCACCAGTTGTTTACCCTTGTGATGGTGTGGCTGACTGGAGGCTTAAGCTCACTCACTGTCTTTGCCCACCATCATGAGACAGTACCATACTAAATATTGCTAGCCTAGGAAAAGATAAAAATTCAAAATATGTCTTCCACTGGATGAGTATCACTTTCATACCATTGTAAAATCAAAAATCATAATCAAACCATCATAATCAGGACTGTCTAGATATAAGGATTTGTTAGTAGATCAATGTAAGGAGATTTGGATGATTCCAAAGTTTTTGGCCTGAGAAACTGAATAACAAACTTGTTATTTTCCAAGAAAGAGATAATGCAGAAATGAAAAGCAGTTTCAGATCTGCTAGGCTTTGCATGCCTATTATTCAGCCACTTGTAGATGTCAAGTGGATAGCTGCACACTGTGAATCTGAATTGCAAATAAAAAAGGCATCTTCTGAGCTAGGCACAGTGACTCATGCCTATAATCCCAGCAGTTTGGGAGGCAGAAGCAGGAGGATTGCAAGTTCAAAGCCAGTCTTCGCAACTCAGTTAGGCCCTCAGCAACTTAGTGAGATCCTGTCTCAAAAGTAAAATAATAAAATGGGCTGGGGATGTGGCTCAGTGGTTAAGTGCCCCTGAGTTCAATCCCTGGTACCAAAAAAGAAAAGTATCCTCTGGAGGAATAATCAGCTCAAAGACATTACTCAAAGCTGTGGAACTGAATGAGATGATGTGCTACGGAGGGTTGCTAGCAAAGCCCCACCGATGACTCATTCAGGGGTTGAGATGAGGCAATGAGGAGGATTCAGCCAAGAAGACAAAGAAGGAGAGGTCAGCCAAGAAGATAAAGAAGGAGAAGAAAAGGAGAAAGATAGTTCCAAGAGTACAAGAATGTGTTTCAAAGCAGATGGTATGATCAACTGCGTCACACGCTACTGAGTGTTGAATAAGGTGAAGATTGAACACTAATGCTAGATTTAAAAGCCCTCTCAATAAAAACAGATGGTATGTCCCTGAAGTATACAAACGCTACCTGATTTCATACATATGACAACCCAGTAAGGTAGTATTATCTACTCTATGTTTTGTTTGTTTGGTACCGGGGATTGAACCCAGTGGCACTTTACCACTGAGATACACCCCCAGCCTTTTAAAAATTTTTTATTTTGAGACAGGTTTTCACTAAGTTGCATAGGGCCTCACTAAATTGCAGAGGCTGTTTGCAAACTTGTGATCCTCCTGCCTCAGCCTCCCCAATCTCTGGTATTACAGGTGTGCACCACTGTGCCCAGCTCAACTCCATGTTTACGAATAAGTTTAAGGCTTTGCCTTTGGCCACAATTCAGATTTCTGTGTTAGGTTCTAGTAACAAGGTTGGTTGAACACAATACAAGAGACCATGTCCTTTGCAACATGTTATTCTACAAAGGATGGTAGCATTGTTTGCATTTTATAGCTACATTCCCTACTGATAATGCTGGGATACTAACAGGACATCAGTAATAATGGATGTTAATTCATTGATTTTTAAACTCTATGTGACATTTTACAGAAGAAGAGCCAAGTTCCTGAGAAATAAACAGATTTACCCAATGTCACATCACTTGATACTCCAGTTCCCTTGATTCAATATGTAATACTAATTCTACTGCACTGCATGACTTTCCAAAAAGTCCTTTAAGGGCAAAACACCTTTTCACAAAGCTAACTAGAGTGCAGAGATGTTAGGAGAAGCACAACTCTCAGGCCTGGAGTGCTTTTAGGTGAGAAAAAAGAGGCAAAATATTATGATATCCAGGCCTGAGGATCTCCTGACCCATGAAGGAGGTATTCTCTAAGCTTGCACATGATTGGTAAGAGATTGTTTTGGAAGAAGATGTACTTCTTGACAAAGATAGAAGGGCCTGGGTCTGAGAAGGGGAATATGTGAATACACCTCAGAGTATGTTCTTGTACCATTTGTATAATTTCTCTTTCCTAACAGATTTAGAATGTATGCCAAGTGCTATGCTAGGCATTTTCCAAGTTTTGTCTCTAAAGTTCATAAAAATATCACTTTAAAATAAAGCAACTAAAATGCAAAGAACTAATAAGTGGTAGGTATTGTATTCAATCTCAGGTCTGTTTGATTCGAAGACCTATTTTTTCAATCTACTACATTACATGCTCTCACATATTGCATAATAATATTGCCATGGGAATATACAACCTTAATTAATTCAGATATGACTGATGTGGGTAAAAACTTTTATGAATACTGTAATCAAGCATTTACCACTTTGCATTATAATTTTGTTTTGAGTTAGTAATCTCAATTCTGCAATTCCCTAGGAACATGCAGACAGAGCCTGAAGTGAACACAGTAGAGAAAATTCCTGTTGTGATTATGGCACCTGCTCCCTATGTGATCTTTTTAAAGACATTTTCAAAAAATTAGTTCAATTAGAACAAGTTTAGATGCAAATTTTTTTATGAATACAATGCCCCATCTATGAATTTTTTAATGGCGTAATTTTGTTTCCCAACATGTTTTTGATTATATATCCTTGGTTTTACTTATTAATGTTCTAATGATAACATAAAAAGAAGCAATAAAGGACTGGGATTGTGGCTCGCTGATAGAGTGCTTGCCTAGCAGGTGTGAGGCACTGGGTTTGATCCTCAGCACCTCACAAAAAATAAATAAATAAAGTTATTCTGTCCATCTACAATTTTAATATTTTTTAAAATATTTATTTTTAGTTGTAGTTGGATACAATACCTTTATTTTATTTATTGTTACGTGGTACTGAGGATCAAACCCAGGGCCTTGCATGTGCTAGGTGAGCGCTCTACCGCTGAGCCACAATCCCAGCCCCAATTTCAATATTTTTTTAAAAAAAGAAGCAATAAATACTATAGTAGAAACCTTTTGCATTTCCTTCCAAATCGATGATTCAGTTGATACAAGTATAAAATTCAAGAACTAAAAATAAAAAAATAAATTCTTATTTCCAAGAGTCTACAGTTTTATGTGGAAGGGGTAAAAATCAACCCACAAAACACTATTAGCAAAAGTATAGAAGTAAAATATAAATAATATATGTTTGTGGGGACACTTCCTACTTACAAAGAAGGGTGAATGTTGATAGTAATACTTACATGGTAGGGTAGATCTAGATTATGTAAGCCTTAAAAACCAGGTGGGCTCAGCAGTAGAGCACTTGCCTAGCACGGGCGGGACCTGGGTTTGATCCTCAGCACCACATAAAAATAAAGGCATTGTGTTGTGTCCATCTACACCAAAAAATAAAAATTAAATTAAAAAAACAGGTAGAGATGTTTGGACTTACAGTGTTTATGAACATTAGGAATGACATGATCAAATATTACTATACAAGCTTAATAAGTCTGAGAACATATTAGAAGCAAAGATAGTAATCCAGCTAGAAGGGGCATGGCAAAGTGGATTATGTTGAAGCCCATAAAAAATTTTTGATGACTCAAAAATCATTTAAAAAAAATACTAACAAAAGCTTATTGAAACAAGTATCATAGGGATTGAGAAAGAGATTCATCAAAGATGACAGCTCCTACTTAGGGAAACTTGAAAACTAATGTTACAAGAGCTATGAGTTGTGCTGTTTTTAGGGAGGATCCCATGTATTTATTGAGTGACTGACATATTGTAAGCATCCAGTAAATATTTTCATGGGTGGATGTTTGAGTGAGTGAAGCCAGGACATTTAAGATAAATTGAAGTCATTCATTTAGAGGCAGTGGTTGAAAGAGAAGACAGGAATTTCTCAAATGAGCTAGTTTGGAGAAAGCCCAGCAAAGGACGACACCCTGGGAGACAAACGCTGGACACCTGAAAACAAGGAACATGTAAAAATACCAAGCTATACAAGCCAGTAGAAAACTTGGACCATGTGATCAAAGGTAAAACAGAGTGAGTGGAAAAAAGGTTGTCTAGAAATGAAAAAAGTTACAGAAAGGCCACTAAAAGAGAGAACCAAGAAAAGGTAACTTGATAAAATAAACAAAGTCACCTGGTCATTTTTTATAGAATAGCTTAGTAGAGTACTAGGAATGGCTGTCAAATTAGAGAGGTTGAGGGATTTGATGGATTGGAAGTAGAGACAGATGTAGTCTAAGTTCAGAAAGTACTATATTATCCATGACAGAAAATTCACTGCCACAGGGTTGCCCCCAAAGAATTTTTACCTCCTCATCTCCCTCCAGGAATTTGGGTTTTTCTAAACACCTGTAATTGTATTAATTATTTTAAAATATTTATATAACATAAAGGTTACATTTTAATTTAAAATAATATGCTCAAATTATTTAAAAGAATCAGGAATAACATGGATAATATAAACTAACAATAAAATCCTGTGATAGGAAAACTACTAGAGAATGTGTAACCTGAAATTTAAAATTACTTTTATGTGAACTAAAAGGACATTTAGGTAGTAGGATTAACTGTGTATGTTGTCTTACCTGATCTGGGCAAACAACATAATAATGATCAAGAAGCTTAGGGAATGTTTGGATCATGCTTAACTGACTCAGTTCAATTAGGAAACCATTCATATTTCTGGATTTTTGACTGATAAATCAGAAAGCTATAGTGTGTTATCTTTTCTTTTGGTACTTGGGATTGAATACATGGGCACTTCATCACTGAGCAACAACCCCAGCCCTTTTTTATTTTTTATTTTGAAGCAGGGTCTCAGTAAGTTGTTTGGACCTTCACTAAATTTCTGAAGCTGGCCTTGAACTTGCAATCCTCCTGCCTCAGCCTCCAAAGCTGCTATGCACACACCACCATGGCTAGCAATAAATGAGTACTTAATATAAATGGAGCAAAACATTAGATTGACAAATTTGGGCAAAAAATGCAAATGTCACAAAATTTTCAGTGCTAAAATTCTAGAAAGCAGTGATAAAAGTACTGAAGTGAAAGAGAATAAAGATTTTTGCTGATGTAGTTTTGTATTTTGTTGATTTGCAGCTGAAGAATTTATCCCAGCTCTAAGACTGCATGGTATTTCAGTTTGAAAATGGCAGCAAATATTTAAGATTCTGGATGACTTTTTTTAAGTAAAACAGACTGTGAAAGATGTGTTGTTTCATAGTTTTACTTTTTATGTACTCTTTTAACAATTTTAGGATGTTTGTATGCCAAGCACATATTAAAATAACTATCTGTAAAATATGGAGAAACATAATTGTTATGTTTATTTGATGTGCTTTCTTAAGATTCTATAAAGTATGTCAAGTTATTTGGCTTCCTTTAACTATACTTTCAAACAGGTATGCATAAATTAATCCTGCAAAATCATTGGTGTATTAAATTGCTGCATTTTTCAAGAAGTATTATTATTATTATAGTTCTAGTCATTATTATTTTACTGAATTTAGTACTTCATGATGCACCCTATATGTAATGAAGCTTTTAAGGTTTACAAGAGTGTAGAAAAAACTCCAAATTATAGAGAAAAAATATTTCTTATTAGATAGTGTAATTATTCAAATGAATATTTACCATGCTATTTTGTATTTAATTTAAAATAATGAGAAGGAGCCTTCTAAATCAAACAGAATTAGCCATATGTCGATAAGTATTCAAGTTAGATGATGGATACATGGAAGGGAGTTACTTTTACTATACTTTCTCTTTTTGTTAGAAAATTTGAAAATGTCCACTACAAAAAGTAAAAAAAAAAAAGTCAAAATTAATTGAATGCAAATTAACTTTTATCAGAATATATGCCTTTGTGATCTCCTGAAAGTGGCAAGTCTCTTGAAGATTTAAGCTTTTTGAAAAAAAAATGATTTATTTTACCAACAACATTCTTCACAGAACTAGAAAAAACAATCTTAGGATTCATATGGAAGGAGAAAAGACCCTAGACAGCCAAATAAATTCTAAGTAAAGAACAATTCTAGAAATATTGCAATACCTGATTTCAAAATATTACACAGACGTAGTAACAAAAACAGCATGGTACAGGCAGAAAAGCAGACACAGATCAATG